TGAGATAAATTACAGGGAGATATAAAGTGGGTGTTTTACTTGTGACAGCCCAGAGGCCCGGGCCTCTCTGGTAAGACACTCTTCATTAGTGGTCTACAATAGGAGCAGAGGAAACACAAGAGACATCGGCATCAGATGATGAACCATGAGGCTCCTTTGCATCTGGTAAAACTCGCGTGCCTTGCCTCACCGACCGTTTGTCTCATTTACTCCCTCTCCCTCTTGCTGAGATTTGATCATATCTCTCGGCAAACATTTTAGTTTTCCCCCTGCGGATCTTTATTTCTCAGCGAGGTTCTCGGTTAATAAGAAGTGAATCCTGAATGTTTCAATCATCAGGTATTTTTCCTTCTTGCACGCCTGCAAGTGATGGAAGACAATACATGAAGCAGCCCACTGAGCTTCCCAATTGTGTCACTTCCAATTAGCCCTTCTGAGACATCTCTGCCCTTTTGATCAAAGGCATTCAAGTTAAAAGGACTGAGCATTGTCCCCTGTATTGTACCCCACCTTCCTTCACTCTCCCCCCATCTAAATTCATGCGTGTCTGGATTTGTGACTCCACGAAAGAGAGAAATCGCAAGAAAGACAGACAGGGATTTTTTTAATCCTTTAACCAAAAATAGCAGCTCGCTGTAATTCTGTATGTACGGGTTTGCTATGAGCTTAAAAGGCGCTCTTCTTACATAAAAGTGCACATTTCTGAATAAACCAACCAGCCTTCACCTTAATCATCCGCTATATTATACATCATTAATACCGATGTTCCTAAGTAGCTAAGCCTTTTAGAACTAGGACATGGCACGTTGTGGTGGTCCTCAGTAGATTTATCCTTCTGAAAAACCTGGCAGCTCTGTCAAATCTGCCTGCAACCTGCTTTTCTGTCATATCACTTTTTAAAGCCAAACTGAAGTGATGGGGATTGTAAATAGCAGAGTGGTGAGCCACAGTATGCGAGCAAGCGTTTTGAGTTAATGAGAGGGCTGGAGCACCGCAGCTTCTTAAACTAGGGCAGAGAAACTTGCAGCTTCAATGGAAGCCTTCCCTCAGACCTCACGTCCCGGGAGAACACATGTGCAAAACCAACAGTACACATAAACAAAGCCAGTGCCGTGCGGAGCCGTGTCCACTTACTGTAATCAAACAAACAAACAAAAAGACGTTTCCATAGCCAGAGCTGCAGCGTGGACAGGGCTCTATTTTTGCAAAGAGAATGAGAAAGGGCGTGGGTTTCTTTTCAACTTTAAGGGGCGCATTGTGGATCAAACCCAGAGCACAAAATCCCACTGACATATTTTGGTCATGCTTGTAGCCCAAATAAAGTTCAGTTTTCCATCATTTTATCAGTCAAACTAAAAACAAAAGATATGCACATAAGACAAAGAGTAAAGAGATTAAAATATTAGTATGTCTTATGAAACTCTGTTCTGTTCTGGGTTTTTTTTCTTCTTATCAAATTATATGTTCCACCTTATTTACAATATGTGAGCCCGGTCTAGGGTTTCTTAAATGGGACCACAGCCTAAAATCACCAAAAGCCATTCACAAAATGTGCACAAAATGCAGACAGACACCCTTGGCACCGTCACACTTGATGTGAAATCAACGATTCAGTTTATGAATGTGGTCCTTATTTAAACATTCTTTCAAAAAACTCACGCAGTCCGATAAAAACAATGTGCAGAATTGTGTGTTTTTTTTAAACTGCAGTCCTGAGTTATGAAATGTAAACTGAGCCAACGTCATTAACCGAGTAACATGACCAGCATCTCACTGAGAGACTTTTCATGTCTTGTGGAGCCGAGTATCTGAGGAAACAATAGCTTTTCTGGGCCGACGGCGGGTTAGTTGGCTTAGAAAAGTTGTCCAGAGGAGAAATTTTCATGGTTATCAAGATTTCTATGCCTCCTTGTTTCCTCACCAATGTGATTTTGTTTCATGAACAACACTTCAATTGGAGAGTTCAAACCAAATTTGATGAGAAGTTAACTACAGCCATTAAAACCTTCAGGTTCTATATAGGCATCTATATCTTAGGAGTTACAGAGAATCTGTCTTCTTGTAGTCTGTCTAATGGAAAGCAAACCCTACTGTGAAGTCCAGGGTGGTTGCAGGTACAAACACAAAGAAAACATTACATGAACATAAACTCACCTCCAACAAACTGGATACCGCCGGCCACACGGCCAATTGTACGTGAGATGAGGTCAGAGATGCAGCAGCCCATGAGAGCTGTGAGCGCCACCAGCAGGAGGAGGCCGCACCCCACGCCCGTAACCACCGTGCAGATCCTCCACTCCAGACTCGGGATGCCGTGAAAGGAGGCGTAGCGCCCACACTGCTCCAGCATCACCGTGGCCTGCCTCTCCTCGTCCCTCACCGGGTAGGAGCAGCGCCGGAAGGTGCCAAAGGACACTGGCTTATCCATCTGTGTCCCCAGCAGCCAGTAGGGCATGAAGAAGCCAACGCAGGAAGCAGCAGCACACAGCAGGGACAGCAGGGCCCAGATAACACCCGTACATGTCAGACTAGACGCCATGGTAAACAGTCTGCGAACGGTTCACACAGTCACTGAACTAACAGTAGTTTTATGAGCAGTTGCTGTGTTGTGGGAAGCCTTGTAGTGAGCATTTAACACTAGCAGTCTTCACCTTCTCAGTGACTCCGGGTCCCTGTCAGGAGGAAGAGAAACATCCATACTGAGCACTGACAGAAACATCATCTGTGGGAACAAGCTGTTGGCTTTTGGAGTAAAAAAAAAAAATCAGAGCTCGATAAACTGGAAACTAGAAACCTGTTCCCCAGTCATTATAAGTGGAGCTATAATCTCAGATATGAAAGATTCCTAGTAAGGGGTGCTACTCATTAGTTAGATCTTTTTCCTGTAAAGTACTTTAAGACAAGATAAACAACACAGGGTACAGTTTAGAGTATAGTTATTCAATATAGATTCTAACTATAATTTGATTCATATAGGCTATAACAGCAAACACAATCCAATAATGATAAAACTCAGGCCAATAAATAATTAACTCAAGTTTGATAAGCTTGAGGCAGCAATTATTCTCCATCCTAGTTATTTCTTAATGCGTTCCCTTCATTGACATATATAACAACTAGTGAATGCCAACAGGTAGCCTATTATTGCAACAACTGGAATTATTACATATGTATAGCTACTGTGGATTTATTTGGATTTTTAAAAACAATGTTAACTCTTATACAACAGCATTTCTACAACAACTACATACAATACACCATAAAAGGCATATTGCTGGATTATAATATAATTAAACATGAATTAAGTACCACTAAAACCAATGGAAACTGCTCATTTAGTTCAGGAAACACACACAAGCAGCCACTACAGAAACATACAGTGATTTTTTGGTTAGGGGTGACCTCACGGAACACGCTGCATTATCGCAGTGCTCACACTGTCGGAATGTGAATAATGAAAACAAGACTAAGAGAGGGGGAAAGGAGAAGAAAGCTTACATATTGGGAGACCTCCGGAATAAGGTGCGCTCGGTGTACACTGAGGGCTTATTTCCATCTGCTGACTCCAGCTGTGTTGGGTCTCAAAGCAAACTTTTCTTCAGTCGAGGAAAAAGAGAAAAGAAATGCGTTCGACCCCAAGAATGTAAATCCAAAAAGTGGCCGCTGAATCCGTTCACAAATCACTTCCTCCTCATCAATATATTTAACCGAGCAAAGATCAATTATTCACTCCTGTGCGGTGCAGAAAACGTGCGGCGCTGACTGACTGGACTCCGGTTTCCACATTCCTGCTCAGAGAGAGAGAGAGAGAGAGAGAGAGAGAGAGAGAGAGAGAGAGGGAGGGAGGGAGAGAGAGGGAGAGAGAGGGAGATAGCGGGGAGGGGGCGAGCCCATGAAACACTCTCGGGAGGTGACCATCAATCACACCAATCCCCACCCAGGGGCAGGACTCACCGCTACTATCATTCCCTGCATGCTCTTGATGCATTCACGGTCGCCTCGTAAAACTGCCACGGTAGACTTGGAAATAACAATAGGCCTACTGAATCTGACAAACCTCAATTGAGTTGTTGAGGTGATGAAAGTTAAGGAAATGAACGGATGAAAGTATTATTGTAGCATAATGTTAGGATATGATAAATATTAGTGTTGGTAAATTTTGCTTACGAGCCATTAAGCTGATTCACATTTACATTAATGAGGTCTTGATTTCATGTAATTTTATAATATATATATATATGCTATATATATCATATCATATCTTGTATATATATATTTGTGTGTACATATTACATTGTTATTATACATCATATTATATATACATATTATTATTTTATTATAATATTATTAATATTATCATTATATACTGTTATTAACAATAACACTACCATCATGTCATCAGTACTATTACCACCATCAACTAAAAACTAAAAACTTTGCAACCTTTATATCTTATATCTTTTTTTATATTTATTTGTATTAAGTATTTTATTCTTTTGTTGTATTTTATTCTATTGTATTTTATTGTATTTTAATGTACCTGGCTGCTATAACGACCCAATTTCCCTTCTGGGATTAATAAAGTATCTATCTATCTATCTATTTATCTATCTATCTATCTATCTATCTATCTATCTATCTATCTATCTATCTATCTATCTATCTATCTATCTATCTATCTATCTATCTATCTATCTATCTATCTATCTATCTATCTATCTATCGAACTGAATATTCCCATTATTGTGCAGAAATAGGTAATTTAACTATTAAAAATGTGGATGTTAAAGACAGATGCACTCACCAATTCTATTGATAAGAATTACGAGTAATAGCAAGTAATACAGTCTTTTCTTCATTAAGTATTTTATTATTATTATTTTAATTTGCATAATATAAATATCTTACAGCTGGAACAATTTCTAAGTGGAATATTTCTAACAGCACTTGAACACAGCAATGTGTTCTTCGGTACTTGGCAACACATAACATCATAATGACACAGTTTCTTGAATGGGTGATGAGCCTGAGTATGAAGACATATTGTATTTTGGTTGATATATTTTACTTATAACAAACAAGTGTTTTTCAACAAAAAATAAAAAACCCTGGAGCGGAACGCCTCCACGGAGCTACACGCCGACCGGACCTACATTTCACACGGACCAAAACATTTCCCCGAAGTTGACGTGGAGGTGTTTGTGTGCACAATGGGCGACACTAAGGTAGAAATGTCATCTGAGAGCTGCACTGTGATACAGAACCAAAACGCACAACCTCAACCCAACAACCCGTTGTCAAGGAAACTTAATAAAATACTGGAGACGAGGCTTGACAACGACAAGGTACGTGGGAGGCTAGGTAGCTAACGTTAGCTCACTTTTTTGCACGCTAGTCGTGTCACATCTGGATATAGGTTGATACTGTCGCCCTGTCAGAGGCAATTGTTTGGACAAAACGGTATTGTTGCTCGCTGGTTGTGGTAGTAATACAGTAATAATGCCCACAATGTCCTGGGTGTGCTTCCAGGAGATGCTGGAGGCTCTGAAGGCGCTCTCTGTGTTCTTCACTGAGAACAGTTTGCGCACCAGGAGAAATCTTCGTGGCGACATTGAGAAACGAAGCCTGAACATCAACGAGGAGTTTGCACGGATATTCAAGGAAGTAAAAGAGGTAACATACAGTTTTGCACATACAGTTTATAACGCTTAAACAACACCTAAGTGCTACTACTGTTGAACCAGCCAGACCTTCCTTGCAGTGAGTCTTTTTTTAACTGAGGTGTGTTTGGAAGATGTTGTTAGATTAATAGAGAGGTTTTCAGTTCCCACAGACACAGCTGTAAAACAGCAGTCCTGATGTAGCAGGTGCATTCAAGGAATGACATGAAGGTTTAGGTTCAAGGCAGTGTGTAAGATTATAGTACAGAGTATCGGAAAATTCAGTTTAATAGTTTGAATGTGTGAATATGGGGGTACGTCTGCCTCAGTGCTGTTGTGACTGAGACTAAATGTTCTCTGCAGGAGCTTGAAAGTGTTCACGAGGACGTCCAGGCCATGAGCACATGTTGTGAAGAAATGACCAATACATTAAAGGTATGTTTTATTATCTCTGCATCCTCCTCCGTGTATAATGAAACTCAACTCTTCATAGGAACGGCAGGTAGGAGGAGGGTAGGGTATTTGTGTAAGCTTGGTATTAGTATGGTCTGGATCAAATGTATGACACTTCATATGAGTGATTTATTACAGTTTCTTTGGAAACATGATGTTCACAAGCCATCTTTTAAAAACAGTAACTTTTGTCAACAGGCTGCGAAGGAGCAAACTCAAGACCTTATAGTAAAAACCAACAAGCTGCAGGGAGAAAAGTAAGTTGATTCTAAAGTAGAAATCCTTTTATGTGTGTTTGGATGTGTGTGTGTTACTGTGCAGAGTTAACCATGTTACTTCAAATATACATGCATATTTGAACTAAGATAGACATAAGGAATCAGTGGAGAAATGTTCTTAAGAATAAAACAGCCAATCCAGTTGCCTTTACTTTGTATGTCTAGAAATATTGCTGACTGATAATCTTTATAGACATTTCTAAACTCAATATATCTTTTTTGAATTGCATTATACTGTGAGGGTTTTTCTTATATTTTGCGCCATAAATCTGGAGGACAAAATGTTAGATATTTCTTTTTCTATCAGTCAGTCCACAATTGAAGTCCCCAGCGCATTTGTAATGTACAGCTTCTTGTAAGGTATGCTTTATTGTAGGGCTGACATGATGGATACAGTGAACAAGTTTTGCACTCAGTCAATGTAGAAATTAATCAAGAGACTCAACCTTATTCTATCATTGGGAGCAAAAGTAATTTTTTAATCCGATTGTAACTAAATTGTCCCCAAAAAGTAAAACAAAACCATATGATGAAGCTGTCTCCCTGAACTTTTTTAAAATAGCATTTCAGAATGTCAGAGAGATCGTGGAGATAAGCTGGACACTTTATACTAAATTATCTGCAGAAAGTTCAAAGAAAATCTCATACTGCCATTTCTCCCCTTATCTTTTTTCTGAGGCTACACATCATTTTGGAAACCTATCACATACGTCACTGATAGGCATCTTCATCAGTCCAAAGCTAGACACCATCATTTCACTCTCTCTGCTGTCTCATTTCCACAGAGAAATTGCCCCTTTTTATATCCAGGCGAGTTTCCAGACACATTTCACCTTAATCAAAAGCACACAGCAGGAACAATGCAGTGACTTTGTAAGTGATAAGCTTTTATTGCAAAGTGAGATGTTGCTTAATGAGTCAGCACCTCCTTGTTTTCCAGGAGTTGCCTCTGACAGTTGCCAATTGAAGGAGATTTCTACATTTAATTAGAACTAAACCATTAGATTAAAAATTATATACTGATAACTTCAAATATTTGCACAAATAAAGATAAGACTCGCCAAGTTAAAAAACTAATAAGTTGAAGAGTAGATTTCCAGTCTAGTGAAATGCAGCTTTTCTATAGTGTCAGAAGTTACAGAAATTTGGTGCAGGGCAGGAGGAGCTGGCAAGCACATTTTTTATTTTTGATGAGGAGGGATGAATGATTAATGAGGTTGATGAATATTTCTCCTGCAGTTGTCTATTTGCATAAGGAGGGCGGCAATCATCATTAATGGAGCTTTATTTGTTTTATTTGTCATGTCCTGTGATGTTTGGCCTTGAGATACACATCAAAGTAGTTCCTGTTTACACTGCATTACTCCCTGATCTCATTGAAGTCAAGCTATTACAACTGGAGAGCAGCCCATCAGTGTGTTCTTGTATTTGAGCGTACGCATTGAGATTTGCTGACAACACGTATTACGAGCCATCAGATATGCAGATCTAATATATATATATATATATATACCGCTCGCCACGACACAGAGTCATGAGTGGAGTCGGGCGGCGTTTCTTGGGTATCCGGGCCAGCTGCAACTCTTGGAATGCTGATGGATTTTTTTTGGTTGAAAGCTTGCCAATAAAATTAATCTAGGTATCATTAATCTATGATTTTTGGCCAGCAGAGTGTTGACAGGGTTGTGAAAATAAAACACTCGCTGCCTGTTCGCTGATAGCTGGGGGTCGGGGTGGAATTCATTAGTAATTTGTGGCGGCTGTGACCTTAGTGCTCAGTGACCTTGTGAGTTGACATAGAGGCAGTGGCACCGGCAAAGATAATGTAGATTTCTGGCAAAAGACACTGCTGCCAGCTGTGATGTACCGCGGCAATTCCATGCTCTGCTGGCACAGATTCAGGTCCTCCTTGACGAAAAAGGTGACATCGAAGGGGAGGGAGAGCGAGATTGAAAAGGAAGGAGATGAGCTCAGAATCTGAGAGCAGTCAAAGACACCAGTGGGGATAAAGCCACCAGTGAATACGTGCAGACAATGAATTAATACAAGCCATATTGCTTTGTGCGGGGGGTCTTGTTGAAGGTAAGTGGTCAGAGGTTTTACACGGATGCCCTTCTGAATGACCCCCCGCCTTGTCTTTTTCTTTGCATAGCGGTCCCATTGGGACCCGCTGTCCGTCTGCATGACATTTTCATTCGCAGAACCACAATGACCCCACAGCCAGATGGGATAGTGTCTGCACGCTGGGTTTTGACCTTGTCTTTAGCAATTGTGTCTCAGAAGAGCTGCCAAGGGAAGTGTGCAGTCAAGCTGTCCTCCTTCAACCACCCACCAGTCAGCCCACTGCACCACACCATTCCAGTCTTCTTGGTCAGATCTATTTCAGGTCACACAATCCTCTGCAGTCCCAAGCCACTGTCTTTTTTTTGTGCTTCTCCTGTTGACACTTATTATAGCAGTGCTACGTTTGCAGCACGATATCACTTTTTGTGCTTATAGGGCAGCTCTGCCGAGAGAGTACAGTCATTTTAAAAGCTCTGCAGATGCTTGTGATGTGTATTTACCCGGCAGAGCAGGCCTGTCCTGAACTGTTTGCTATCTTATCTGCCAGTGGCACTGTGTCATTTGTCAGCCCTAATGAAACGGAAAGGAGCCGCGGATTGCTTACAGTGTGCAGAAGCAAAGGTGGAAGAGGCGAGCCAATGAGAGTAGGCGTTCTGTGTTTGTCTGCCGGCCTTCAGACGTGCTGCTCTTTTGTTCTGAGCTGGTCCTGTTCAAAGGCGCTGTCAGCAAGAGCACTAAATAGGTGTTGTGTGTTGTTCCATAATGAAATGTAACGCTACCCACCTGCCCTGCACTGTGTGATCTTTGCATTAGCGTGACATGTTATCTGCTGAACATGTTGAGACGTCTCACAAACGGATGTTTCTGTGTACTGTGTGACCTCACAAGCAGCTGGAGCTGAAGGGTTGGACTGTCAGTTTAGTTCTCCAGCGATTACTGAACTGCTCAGGCAGCTACAATAGGCCTACCTGGCTGCATGCCAAAGAGCAATGTGCTGTTGACACATTTAGTAACCACAACTAAGATTTACCTGCATTTGGCTTGACACAGTAATTCCTACAGCATATGATGAATTATCAGACAGGAGCCCTGTGTTTCACTGAGACTATTTTTCCTGAAAATAAAGAAAATGCTCTGTGTGACTTCTGTGTAGGTCATTAATAAATCAAGAGCTCTGAAACCCTCAGGAGAACGATCGGGGACATCGGAGTGTAAATGACAACCTGTGTAAATGACACTTGAGCCTTATTAAGGCTCAGCTGGCTGTTAATGAGGGTATGGCTGTGAGTGTGCCTTTGTGTTGTCTGATGTGACTGGCTGCGACGGCACTCTGTGATCAGTGGCGCGTGGCTAACTAACAGCTTTTGCGCATGCCAAATTTCCACGCAAGCCTTTGAAATGGCCCCTAATAGATTTTAATGGATAATCGACCCACATGGTTTACAACCTCCGAGAAGGTTGGACATTGGCTTGTTAAGAGAACACTTGATCTCTTTATTATTCATTCTGTATGACTGTCAGTTTTTTCAAAATAAGACATTAAAAATGTCCTATTAATTTATTCATTGAAGTCAAATGTTTTTCTACCCTGTATAGTGACTAGTGAGCTTGGTAATTGTTATTCACAGATGAAGCTCTCAGTTTTTAGAAACTGACGAAGCTCTTTATGAGATTGTGCTGTTTTATATTGCAAACGATTTCTGCGCTTGAACAGACAAAATCAATCAGCCTAGTTGGGAAATCTGAGCACACACACAAGCAGACACAAAGAGGCCGACCATTATACAAGTTACAGTGTTAACTTGTTTTTATCCAGTCATGTAACGTGCGTAATCTGGATTTAGTGTAACTTTGCTCTTGCGTGCCGTTTTTAAAGAAAAGCTTACATCATTGAGTTAATTTTCCTTAACCACTAGCCCAGAGTCTCTACAAACTTGCCTTTAGAGTGTGAGGTTGCCGATTCACTCAAGTATGTTGCCTCTCTCTGGTATTCGGTAATTGCAGTCTGAAGAAGAATGTGTCATGTCCTGACAGCGCTGTAGAAACCGATCCTGCCGCTCCACCATTCCCTTGCCCTCCTAACTCTGCTGCTACAGCTCCCACAGTCCACCTCTCCTCACCTTGTACAAACATTTGCAGCCTGTCTCCTTGTTGTGATTTACATCTTAGAGGAGCCGGTCTGTCACTCCTGGCCTGGACATGAGAAAGTGGGGGCATTTCTTATCTTCTTGAGGTGAATCTGTTGCAGAGTTTGACATGTGAACAAGGTTTTCTCCAGCATCACTCCCATGCCTATCAAGGAACCAAGGAAATGTGTTTATCATTACACAACAGAAAGTTGTAGAAGTGAATATGAAGTTCAACATGTCCATTGACAGAAATGGATTAGGTACAATTGTTGCTTTAAATGAAACTAATGAGGTTATATTTCTGACATAGAGAGTGGAGTAAACTAGAAGAAGAAAGTCCATATGAACTGTGTCTTCAGCTGCAGACACTGAGCAATGAACTCAATTCCCCTGCTCTTTAACTGTCTCACAGAGCTACCTCTGTAACCTGAGAGTCCCAGAAATGCTCCCTGCTGATCACTGATAAGTGTTATTAAGAATGACAGAAGTTACTGAGAGTTCATATCAGGGAATCTTGGAGCCTTTTCCACACGTGGTTAAACCCTGAGACCTGTGCTGTTGGTAACTGACTTTAAAAACATTTGCTAATGATTTTGTGTTTTCTGTATTTTAGTCAGTCACTTTTGGACTCCAAGCTTTAACTCTCATACGAGTCATCGGCTCATTCAAGTCAACTCTTCTCATTAAATGAGTGAACACAACCTCTTCATGGCACCAGTTGTTGGCAGAAATGCAGTCTGTGGCTGATATCTTTTATGAATGTAATTTCAAACTATGACATGTTAAATGCTATTAGGTCTTAATGACTGTTAGGCCAATAAATTGATGTCCCATAAAAATGACATGTGGGACCTTTTGCCCCAGGTTCAATGTTTCTGGTTTTCCACTCTTGTGGAGATGATAACTCGACATGCTTCAATTATATGAATTCCATGTTTACACCACACTTTCTCACTAAAGAACAGATGATCCAATTAGATTTTGAAATCTTCCGGTTTCAATTAGCGTATTTGCATATAAAATTTCATTGAATCCACTATAGCGCCATGCTCTACTAAGAGTTTACAGATTACATATTAATATTGCTCGTGTGTTGTGTGAAGACAAGCGTGTTCACATGTAAATAGTTTCTCTAATTTATACACTACTCAGTTTAATTAATGACCTTATTAGCATAGCTTGTTTGTTTTTTTTAGACATCACTGTAATTGTGGTGGGATATCAGGCCGCTCGAGTGCCCCTTGTGTTCATTTGTTATCTCTCAGTGGCATGATCTGTTTTCTTTTACTCCAATCAATTCTCTTTCACTTTTCTCCCCTTTGTCCTGGAGTTCAGTGTGTTTTTGTACACACGTGTGCAGTGTTGAGCAACAACAGTTATCTTTTTAATATAAAAAATTTAACTGTTACATTACCTAAATAATGTTCTGTAATTTCAAGTGTTTGTGATAGACTAAATGATTGCTTTTGACAATCTCACAGTGAAAGCCTGCTGTTTTCGTTAAAATGGAACTTATTATTATCATTGTCACTTCTTGCTATTTTGAATATGTAGACAGATAATAAAGTCAAATTTGAAAATATGCTACCCAAGCCTATCTGTGCTGGAATTAAATGCAGTGGTCTAGCCAAGCTCTTATCCTTGTGCAGTAACAAAATCTCAACACGCGAAGCACGTAAAGGGCAAAGACGCCTTCAGGTCCTGTGTGTGGCTCGGCGAGCTGTACGGAGAAATACTAAATCATAGGATCCTGTAACACATTTACAACCCTTTACTTTCAGCTGGCTGAGCGCTGGTAAATAGCCGTGTGAGAAACAATGGTCAGATAATGTTGGGTTCTTCTGCTCCACCAAAACAACCTGGTGATTTACTGATCCAGCCTTGTTTTCACAGACAGGGGAGAGAATATAGACGAGGTGGTTTGGATGGAAAGATGGGGACAGTGGGAGGACTCACTCTTGTTCTGCTATCCCGTGACAGAGTTCCCTGTTTGACTGGGATGGTTGCCATGGTCACTATTGTGTTGAGACACTTAGAGTGACACTGATAGTGATCACTCTGCTGTTATTGATAGCGACAAAAGCTGGCCTGTATCTGGCTGTGTATTCTTTTTGTTTCTCTTGTCTTCCTCTGTTATTTATTTTCTCACTGCTGCATATGATATCTTTACTCTCCGTCCCACCCTGTTTCACTGTCCCAGTCAGTTCACCGTGAGCAAAGGTGTATGAGGAGTATGACTGCCATCTGCTGTAGAACGTCAAACATTACAGCTTCTTGATGACAAGCACTGTTTTTTTGTTAAATGAAAGTACACAACTTTGTTTTCCACACTGACAGGTCATTTATTTACACAATAAGAAAACACAATAATACAATAAAACTCAGTGATAAAGGACCGAAGGAAAAATCGGAATGCTTTTGTTGAATAAAGCTCCACAATGGCCTTGAAGACTAACAGAACAAATCATGATGACAAGCAAAGGCCCAACTGAACTGAACAGAAACTAAATGACAAAACATTATAAGATCAAAGTAATTCTTTATAAAGATGTCAAAGTGCAACAATGGCAAGTGAAGGAAATTATGACATTTATCTCTTTCCCCTTAGTCACCGCCTGGAAGTGAGAGCTCAGGTTGCTCAGGCTTTCCTGGCCAAGTTCCAGCTGTCTAATGAAGAGATGGCCACGCTGCGAGGTGCTCGGGATGCAGCCATTACTGAGGTAATCTCCATTATAATGTATTCTGATGTATTAAATCATATAAAGAATCCTCCCATCCACATCCACAGGATGGAAGGATGCAATATTAGGTAAAGCATAGTGGCAGAAGAGAGGGCTCCATTATCTTTATCCTCTTTTTGAAGTGTGATCAGTCTTCTCACTCTGCCAACATGCTGCCACAATATCTAATAAGTTAGAAGATATGGTAAAGATATTCCATAGTCCATTAACTAAATGTTTGAAGGGAGTGGAGGTGATTTTTAACTTTCCCTACTTCCTCTCTTTTCTTTATACTGTATACCAACTACTATACATAAAGACAAATCAATATGATCTAAAAAACTTTTGCTTTTTTATATGATTATGATATGCAGATGTAAAATAACACCATGCATGTCAGTTTCAACTCTATCAATATTGCATGATTAATTACAAATGCTGTCCTTGGTCACATCAGACAACATTTTTACCAAAGCTGTAACATTCAGTGTTTTGGCAGTACATTTTCTTCGACTCCTGCAAAACTGCAACCTATTTTCCACCTGATATATTCATTTATGTATCGTTCAATTTCCCAGGATTTCTTCAAAGCTCTCAGCCGAGTGAAGCACATCCATGAAGATGTGAAAATCCTCTTGCGAACCAACCAGCAAACTGCAGGGTAAGGCACACATCTCACTGTGCTCCACTTACTCTGACAGAATAAAATAACAGTGTCTTTTACAGTTTTCCTGTTATTGATGTTAAATTCATGGCAATTATTCTGAAGCTGAATGGTGAAACAGACAAGCAGGAAAAAAAAACATCCAGACCTGGTATGTCACTGTCAGGGATCTCTCACTCAGGGTATGGGTTTGTAATGTGTGGTCTTGGTTTGCATGCTTGTTCCAGGTTAGAGATCATGGAGCAGATGGCCGTGTTACAGGAGACATCATATGAGCAGCTCTACCGCTGGGCTCAGAGTGAGTGTAGTACACAGAATTTATACCACGATCACACTATGTACACATTGTTCAAGGTCTCCATACTGAAGTGCACAGAACTAAATACAAAACTGTGCTCTTTCAAGAGTAATGGCGTGTATAGGACACATTTGAGGACACATGTGACTCATAACCTCTGACTAAGTTTTGACAAAAGAATGCCAGAAACCAAAATTTTCCTCAGCTAAGCCATGTGTTTTGTCATTGAAATCAAAATGAAATAAACCATTTAGATCAGAGAAACCTCATCTGTATAATTATACAATAACAAAATATAGAGCATTTTCTAAATTATGAGTTTCTCCACAGTCACTTATTTTGTTGTGGTTAAGATTTGCTAAAAGACCTAAATCCAGAAGTTTGGCAAGTGAAAATTGTAAAAAAAAAAAAAAAACTGTAAGTAATTATAAAAAATATAAAAATATTTCTGCACATTTTTTACTTATATTTGCAGCATTAGGTGAGGTCTGACCAGAGTGCAGTGTGTTGACCAGTTTTCTCCACAGTCTGGAAGTTTGGCCGCTGCCTGTTCATTGTTTGTATTGTCTGAGGCATAAGTAAACTGACTTCTTGGTACAAGCTCATGGGAAAATATGATTGCAAAATGTTCTTGGTGCTTTGATTTGCTTCTTGCCAAAAGGGTTGCCATGGTCCAAAACATTTAGAAACAATGAATGGAGCATAACACAAGCATACTAGAAAGACTGCAACTATTTAGTTTAGTTTGATGAGTTGATGAGTTAGTTAGTTAGTTAGTTAGTTAGTTAGTTAGTTAGTTAGTTAGTTAGTTAGTTAGTTAGTTAGTTAGTAAGTTGGATGACAGTGTATAAGATGCATTTCATGTTTTGCTTTCCTTCTTTCCACAAAGATGAATGCAGAGGAGTCACCCAAGAGAGCTGTGATATCAGCCCTGTGTTGACTCAAGCCATGGAAGCCTTGCAGGACCGACCTGTCCTTTACAAGTAATATGTCATACAAACATACACACACTTACAAACAGCAACAATCTTTGATCTAAATAGCATGCTGTATGGTTCGTCCCTTCAGTTATATTCCTCTCTATGCTCAGTGTTTACAGGTATTCTAAGAGCATTAATAGAAAGTACAAGTAGACCAGGTATGGATGTTTTTAAATGTCAAAAATCACTCACAGGTAAATTGGGAGTGAAACAAAGAATTAGAAAACAACAGAGTGAACTGCCTGAAGCAAGTTTCGCCACGATCGAGCTTGCAGAAGAAGAAAGTGTCTCCTCCCAATATATCCCTTCATAGTTTAATAAGTCAGTGCTCAAAAAAGAGGCAATTTAATACAATGCTTGATATACCTGAGACGTCATATGAGATTAATCTGCATTCTAAACCAGCAGTTTAGTTCAAGGATATTTTTTGTGTGTGTTAGTGACAAACAAAGGGTTTAGTCACTCTGAGAATCATGACATATAACATTAAGAACCATTGGGTTTTGAAAATCTTTAAGAGCTTTGAAATGGCTGAAGTACATTTGATTCAGTACTATTAATGCCCATTACTCAGTTATTTTCTGACGCTTACTGGGAGTTTAACTTTGTCCCTAAAAGAAAACAGCTCAGAGGAAAGTTTCACACGTTACCCCAAGATATGTTTTCATGGCAATCTCTCCTTTCCCTCCTCCTCCTCCATTTGTCTGCATGTGCACCTGTCTCAATGCTCACAAAGTGTCCCAAGGTTATGCACTGGCTGGGGATGTTGAGGCTGAGAGAGCATTCCTGGAATCTTAATTCAGCACTATCTTGTGTTTAGTCTGTCTCAAAGCCTGCCACCGCCAAGTAATCAAAACAACCTCAAAGTCTTTCCTTTTGGAAAAGCTGCCTGCATTGTTGATGTATACCAGCGGCTGACCTCTGACACACAGTCTGCACGAAAACACGTCTTTTCACATGAGGTTTGGGTGTTGAGTGTTTCCTTCTCTCTCCTTTGTTTGATCAGGTACACTCTGGATGAGTTTGGGACTGCACGCAGGTGTGCGGTGGTACGAGGCTTCATCGATGCCCTCACCCGCGGTGGGCCAGGAGGAACTCCCCGTCCCATAGAGATGCATTCACATGACCCTATGAGGTACATCTCCAATCCCATTTATGAGCTGAACATTGCTATTTCGTACTGTAATAAAACCAATGGTAATAAATGGATAATTGCTTAATAAATGGTTATTCAAACTTAGTAACAAGTTGTAATCTATATTGTTATAGAGTCACTAATTTTCATTTACAAACACAGTTTATACAACAAATAAACTAGATTATATCAAACTTTCAACCTGTGTCCTGTTTACATGTGCCCACCTCCAGAGCTGATTAATACGAATACTGTGTGTATATTTTGTAAAAAGTAGTGCCAGACTGTTTTGTTGTTATTAGAATCCTCCAAGAACTGTGTGGAAGCATTCCCTTATGATCACAAAATATGACTAAACTCACGTTTGTCTAACTCTAGATATTAAAATATAAATTTAGTAAAATTCCTCAAAAACACAGCTTAACCTTTTAATAAATATTTAGAGATATAAGTATTCTATTGTATGATTGCAAATGCCATGATTCCTAATCTATAAATCTATTCGATTTAGTTATAAAGAGATTCTTAACTTTTAAAATCCAATTCCAGAGGTTGTTAAATGTCTATTTTCTCAAGGAGTGTGTCTGTGCTTCCTGTTGTACCACATCCTCTTCCCTCTTCTTCATGTGCCCAGGAGCCAAATAGGAGATTTTCTCAGAATACCAGCCATGTATGGAACACAAAATCACCTCCTCTTTAAAGGAGGCATCAGCAGTTCTGAGAACATCAAGTTCTTTCTCACCTCCCTATGTCCTCTCTCACACACACACACACACACACAGGCTTACACACAATAATTCAAGTTTAACCTTGCTGTTTTCCAGCGTTATGTAACACCAAAAGCCTTGTGTGTGTTTGTCTGTGAGGGGAGTGAAACACGATGATCCATGCCTCAATGTAGCTGTGGTCACAGCCTGGTAAGATTAGCCCTCAGGTTGGCCCCTCAGTGACGTACTGTTTAATACAGACTGTTTGTCGCTCTTTCAGGTATGTTGGGGACATGCTGGCCTGGCTGCACCAAGCTACCGCCTCAGAGAAAGAGCATCTAGAAGCTCTCCTGAAACAAGTAACTCTGCAAGGTATGACGTTTCATACATGGTGATTTTACAGTGAGCAGTTCTCCATCATCCCCAGTTCATTCACATTTCAAATACAGTTCTTGTTTTTTTTTTACCTTATTGTAAACATTTGCTGTGTTGCGTCTTTTAATTTAGTCATTTTTACCAGTAAACCAGGGCTTGTAAACATATATTACACAGACTCAAGAGTAGCTCGATTATCGGACAGAGTTTGGGTAACCAGTCGTTTAATGAGGGTAGAGATGTTGGCAACAGTTAGAGAGTGTGAACAAATCTAATTCCAGTACATTTAATTCAGCCTGATGGACTAATCCTGTGCTTGTTTCTCTAATTTAACTTCTTCGGTTCTCATAGCAGTTAAGAATGAAGATAGTTCAGTAGGCTTAGCCAAGACCAGGGTTTCTGTTTGGTCCCTTTTTAATAACTGAATCTATTACATCAAGGCTATCAAATGTCAACTTTATCTCCTTATAGTAGTAAAGAGATAAGTAAGAGATAGTTTTCTGCAGTGTATTTTGATTATGATCTCACTCCCAGCAAATCATGTGAGAGTTGACCTGGGAAAAGTTTGAGCCCTGTGTTTTCAGGCAGGTGTCAGTGTGGTTATATGGTGCCACAGGAGTTTGAATGATGGCATTGCTGTCACCTGCCTAAACACAGTGAATTCAAAAAATAAATGTGAACCTGCATTCACATGGATATGTGAATGCAGGACTAATACAGGAATGAATTAGGAATGTTGTGACCCTATGTTATACTCACGTAGTTTGTGTGTGTTTCTGTGTGTGTTCCTGTGTGTGTTTTCCTACTTTAGGTGTGGAGGAGAACATGCAGGAGGTAGTTGGACATATCACTGAGGGAGTCTGCAGGCCACTAAAAGTGAGCAACCATATTAGTTTTAAGAAGCTGTTAAAGAACCACGGACCAGCTCTGTTAAATGCATATAGTGTTGTAGTGTCATGTTTTGCTCATCTGCTCACTCTATGTTATGTGCTGTCATTCAGGTTCGGATAGAACAGGTCATTGTGGCTGAGCCAGGTGCTGTCCTCCTTTACAAGCTGTCCAACCTTCTGAAGTTCTACCACCACACCATCAGGTATTTTAACTCAGAAAATAATAAAGACTTAAGAGTTGAAATGATTAGTCCATTAAGTACTCAACAAAAAATATGTGAATAATTGACTAATCAAGTCATTTGTAGAGCAAAACATACTTGAAAATGTGTTGCTTTTCTACTTTATATCATTGTATGTTGAATATCTTTTACTATCTTGTTTTACACTGTCAGTTGCAAAAAACAAGCAATTTAAAGATTTCACTTTTGGTTCGTGGCGCTTCTTTTGCTATTTTCGGACATTTTGTAGAAGATAAAATAGTTGATAAAATGAAGAAAATAAAAATATAATTGATCATGTAAATAATCACTGGATGCAGTCACCCACCTATTTAATCTTTGCCCAGCTCTATCATTGGGACCAGTGTGGCCTCGTTGCTCATGACTATGGAAGAAATGCACATCCTCAGCAAAAAGATGTTCTTCAATAGCCTGAGCCTTCATGCAAGCAGACTCATGGACAAGGTAGTGTATGAGTAAGATGATTTTTATTTGAATAATACAAAATATTGTTTTCTCTTGTACGGTTGTGAGAAAGTGACTTCTAGGAAAACCATACCATCACCTAAAGACAGGGATTAAAGAAGCTTTGTTTCTAAAATGGATACGATTCGCAATGTTCTTTCATGAAATCGCTTAAATGACAGTGCAGAGGTTCAGTATTGCATCCTGTGGACACACATTGTGTATTTCAGCTCTGTGTCTAAACCCTCAAAGACAACAAGGCTATTTCTGAAGCACTTATGCTTGTAAACAGTTTCGGCCTGTTGGCCACAGCATCGAAAAGACGCTAGCTGCCAAAAAACACCAGACTTGTTACCGTTGAGTTAAATTGGCATCCAAATATACCTCAGCACGAGCAGGAGCTCTTCCACATAACATGCTGGCTGTGTCCTGATCAATAGCAGTTACAAGAATTATCCCTGTAGCTCGGTGTTAATCAAATTGGAGGCCCTCAGGGTTTTGGTGTCAATTCCAGCTAATGCCAGGAACACAGCCTTCTCATAATTTTCTCTATTAGGTGGACAAAGGTGGCTGGGCTCAGTACTATGTTGTCTATCCAGAGGCCAATGAAATCAGAACCCTCTTTATTATGAAAAGCTCATCTGACTCCGGACAAGCTGAGTCTCAGAGTAGCAGCAGGAAGCAGTTGAATATTCGGTCTATCATGCTGCTCATTAGGGATGTTTAGTGCTTTGATAACGTTATGAGGACCGCTTGTCTTGGTGAAGGCTAGGGCCCACAACTAACCTCTGCAAGAATAATTTTGCTCTTTTGCTCCATCTACTAATAACTTGTCTTCTTCTGGGCCTGTTTGGCTGGCCAGGTGGAGCTGCCACCTGCAGATCTGGGACCTACAGCCTCCCTCACTCAGACCCTCTCCCTCCTCAGGGAGGTGCTAGCCTCCCACGACTCATCAGTTGTTCCTCTGGATGCCCGACAGGCTGACTTTGCTCAGGTAAAGTCACATCAGGATTGGAGAAATGTTAAACTCATCTCCCTCCATTGTCTTATTTAAGCATTCTCTTAAATTTATGGGGTATAAATGTCTATCTGAATGTATTTTTTATCAAAGTTTGTGATATTTCACTGATGACTGATAAACAAGTAAACTTTCATTTCTTAAGGCTCTGTCTTATTTTGTATCTCACAGGTGCTTTCTTGCATCTTGGATCCCCTCCTCCAATTGTGTACTGTGTCAGCCAGTAATCTTGGCACTGCTGACATGGCAACGTACATGGTCAACTCGCTGTATGTCATGAAGACCACGCTGGCTCTCTTTGAGTTCACTGACAAGAGGCTCGAGATGCTCGAGTTCCAGGTCTGCCCTATTATTAAACAATTATCAACAAATTAAAAGTGAATCAGACAATTCCATTTGTTAGCTATCTATTTACTTTTAATTGCATGTAGTCAAGGACATTAATCAGATAAAAACACACCACACCATAGTAAAAAAAGACAAACTGAATCATTAAACACCAATGGTACTCATCATGAATGCTCAGCTTTGTCCGTGCATAGGAGGATTGTTCATTGAAAATAGTTAATTATTCTTGTTCCTTTCATTAAAACTAATACAGCCCAAATCTTTTATTTAAAAGATTTAATTTACTGTCTCATAGAAGGGTGTGCGTCATGTATTGTTGTTCATGCGCCAGTGCGCTAGCTATCCATCTATTTTTAGCATGTCTTTTGTAATTGAGAACCACAAGAGCTCCTGTGGAAGTTTCATTATCAATAGCACAGTGGTTCTCCATTAACCACAAGTACCATTGGTTCACAATGCAGGCTTGGACTGGATTTTAAGCCACTCTCTCCCTCATTTTCTAGATCGAGGCTCACCTTGACACTCTGATCAACGAGCAGGCGTCCTACGTGCTGACCAGAGTTGGACTGAGTTACATCTATAGCTGTGTCCAGCAGCACAGTGCTGAACAGGTGGATTACTTAACAGCACGTTGACATGCACTCACTCATTAAGGTTTAGAACTGTGGAATTTTTTTTAGGGAGTCCCTAATGGTTTTCCTTTATATTATAAATACCTTGTTGTTTACAGTACACTACCTCTTTAGGCTTCACAATAGCTATTGCTAAGGTTACCACATGATCAACGTCTCTTATTAGGGCATAATGGCATTTCTATCAGATTTTCAGATGAGAAAGAAGCAGAGGGAGGCAGATCGTATTATGTTCTGTTAAAATTTGTATTAGTTTCTCCAGAAGTGTCCTGTGCAGCTGAGAGAGCTGATGCCCTGGAGCCTTCCTCCCTCTGTGTGACACACATTGCTACTGGGCTGACTGAGACCCATAGTTGTGGTTTAGCATGCGAGTCTTGAAACCCTGGGTCATGTTAGGACACACCACACCCTGCTGCTGCTGCAGCTCAACGCAAAGCTCAATCAAGAACTGTCATTCTTCTGCAGACTACTTCTCTCCTCGGGTGGCCTGCCTTGGGTTTTCTTTAAATAGTCTTCTGCTTGAAGAGATTAAGTCTAGCTGTCTACACTCAACGGAGTCCCAGATGTCAACGACTGACAAGAATCCCCAAGTTTATTTTAGACTTTTCAGGTTTATGTTTGCTATCTGTTTAACATTTTATCCCTGTAATGTACTGAGATACATCAGATGAACATGTCAGAAAGAAGAAAACGGTGATTAAAACAATACTGTTCACTGGCTAGTAGCTAGCAGATTGTAGGCTCCTAGTATGTTAATATTCCCATCGCCATAAAATCACTCTAGGTACTGCACTGTAGCTTTGACCCTTGCACTGACATCTATTTGCTGCTTTTAATGTTGGCAATTTAGGCATTTAAGCTTGACTTAATGTTGCCATTCTGGATAATCAGTGTCAGCTAATTGCCTGAAATGTACCTGCTGTTGTGTTCACAAAGTCAGTCATGTGTTTACTTTGCACATATTTTGTGTTGTTACCATCAAGATTTAGGGAGGGAATTTCTCTTGATTACAAATTAAGATTCACAGGTTCAGTGTCTTACCAGCTTAAATTTACTCACTTTGTTGTTCAATATATGAGTAATCTGAATCCCATATCATTAAGCCAAAAAGACCTACAACAACCCAAACAAATGTTTAACCAACAAGTCAGCCATTTAAAAAGTAAGCCAGCACGATAAAGGAAGTGTTCTGTACTGATGTACATGCACTATTTATAGTTATTGAGATAAGTGTAACATTTTATTATGATACAGATGATATCGCCCGGCCCTAGTGTAAATCATTTTGTTTCACCGTAGGAAGGAGTGAGACAGCCGTACACAATGATGATGTGTGGGTTTTTTTAATATATTTTGTCCAAAAGAGAAAGAAATTATCCTTATTATATGCTCAGGAGGCCGGAGGTAACATCATTCATGTAATCATCATTGTGTCTCTGCCTCCATCCATTTTAAGCAGCTGCTCAGGGCAATGTAGACAAATGACAAAGGAAGAAACCTTTTCAATGCTGCCTGCAGCCGCGAATAAGAGCAGGATGTCGGCCACCTGACCTTTGTTCGGTTCTGAGATTCAACATTGTTGCTGTTCAAACACTAACCTTGAGTTGGATTCTGAGCTCATGATGACTTTTCTATCTCAGGGTCCCCTGTCCCTACTGCCAAGCATGGACAGCTCTTCTGTGAAAGCAGCGATGGTGAGTTACACTGTATATTAATGGAGCAAATTTAAACAAAATGAATTCTCACGGAATGATTTTTTGACTCGTAACCTGTTAACTCTCTCGCACAAACAACAGGTCCAGTTTGATCGTTACTTGTCGTCACCTGACACTCTTGTGATGCCACAGCTCAACTTCCTGCTCAGTGCAGCCATCAAGTGAGTTCCCGTCCTTCTTGTTGATTGTATATATATTGTATATATAACTCTTCTTGTCTCACTCTATAAAGAATAGAATACATGCAATATGCAGACTTCAAGTTAAGTGTTTATAACATTGCATGTTGTTTCGACAGGATAAAGAGCGTATTCAGAGGGATAAAAATAGAACAGGGGCATTGACCTAATAATGTTCAACATTCATTTGTTTTCCAGATGAAATACGATCATTACTGCATTCCAAACAAAACACTCGACTAAATGCACAGCGATTTTAGATGCTAAATTGCTAAAGCCGCTAACACATAGAGAGAGAGCGGTCTGCGAGACTGCCTGTATTTGTCTTACTGATCAGAAAATGTACATGCTTTTAGCTCAATACAGCTGCTACATTGGAGTGCGCTTTCTATGAGTCACGTTTACTGGGAAGTGCAGCAGGCTTGAGAAGCACTCTGTACCTCAGGTTAATGTTCTCTATTAATGGACATGGGAGGACTGATGGGCAGGACGCCATTAATTACCTTCTGGTCCATTTCTCACTCACACTCGTTCCCTGAAATCATTCCTCCTCTTTGTCTTTCTCTCTCTCTCCCGCTGTCTCTCAAGTCTGCTTCTCTGTTCACCTAAATACACAAAAACACCAGCCAGCACTCTGAAAACACTCCTGGAGCACACAAATAATGGGAATGTACTCACATTTCGTGTTAGTGCACTTGGTGTGGAGTAAGGTGTTATACACAGCACTGTGGTTCTGTGTTCTCTGTGGGCCAATTAAAAATATGGATCTCAAGAGCCTGAGTGGGATACAACCTAGGCGCTCCCACTGTGTCCTTGAGTCCTCTCACTGGGCTCTTCAGTCCGACTGTTGCATCCTCCATTCATACTCCGCTGCAAGAAATAGTGAAATTATCTCCTTCACTCAACAGTGTATGTAAAAAAAGAATCACACTGAAGAACTAAAATGATGAACAAAATCAAAGCAGAACAAGAGATCCTGTTTCCAATTTTCTTTTTTTTTATTCTTTAAACGACTTATAAAAGACTTCTTTAATTAATTAATAGTTTGGTCTCTGAAATGTCACCAAGTGACGTCCTCAAATGCCGTGTTTGGACAACTTGGAATCATTGAATGAAAAACAATGAATTTATTATCAAAATAGTTGCAGAATGATTTTCTTCTCCTGGACTAATTGTTGCAACTCTAAAAGAGAAAAGCATAACTGAATTGGATTTCAAACATATGTAGAAATGTATAAAATGAGAAATAATGCTATTGTACTTATACTGTATATTTTAATTACAAATATGATTGGGGGAATAGAAGTCTCTGTTTTCTTTGCTAAATCAGTACATCTCTCTGTGGCTGACACCTGATGCTTGAGCAATAATGCTGTAATATGTATCCATAGGTGGCAGTGTGCACCACATACTACCTCTCATTGTTTTGACACGGCTGGGGCATTCAATGGTCACTGAACAAAAAAAAGTAATTAGGACAAATTCTTACTCATGGCTGACTTATTTCGGCCCTTCATCAGTGACTAATTACAACATAGCTCTGCTTGTCTGATTTAGACTAGAAATGTTGGAATTTAAGAGGCTCATTCCCTGCTGGTCCTGGATTTGTGAGTATAAAAATCTAAAGAGTTTTATCTGTTTGTGCAGGGAGCAGATTTTCCGTCAGTCGACAGAGCTGGTGTGCAGAGCCTATGGGGAGGTTTACACAGCGCTGACCAGTCCAGCTAACGGCTACAAAGACCCAGAGAACCTCGTACCCAGATCACCTAAACAGGTTCAGACCTTGCTGTCCTGAGAAACACTCATGCCTGCAGGTTATTTAAAGAGCTGTGTAATTTGTATGGTATAATGATATAAATGTATATAAAAGTAGTTGTTAAGGTGGGGTTCTTTGTGGGAAATATGGCATGTGGGTCACTGACCTCAGAGAGAGACACTCCTGTGTGCAAGTAGGAAGGAACATTATATGTATATGATCCATTTACTTTCACTGCTGCAGGCATTGCCTTGTTTTTCTCTGTGTAAAGCACATATGTCTTGTTCTTTCTGTCTGTTTCCACTCGGTGTACTCTGTTTGGGGTACATAATTGTACAAAGTAATGCCTTTTTATTGAAAATATTGATTATATAAAACAAAAGGATAGACCGATTTTAAGAGACTTGTCTTATTTTTCCACACTTAAAAGTGGTCAGGAAAAATGTAGCCACAATGCCAAGAGGAACCTCAGAAGCTTCAGCATAAACGCTGTGTTTATTTTAATCTCAACTGTTTTGAGTTGTAGGGGTAAAATGGAAAATCTGTCTTACCATCTCGTTTGGCTTTTAAAAAATGTCTGCCATGCTGACTAAGATGTGAAAACAAGAAGATAATAATGTTGGATATAGTAATTTACCATAAATTCTACCTTTAAATAAAACTCTGGCCATTTAAAACACATTATGGTGTGCCATGTAGAGAATGTATGCATCATTAGCACGACATTTACACCTACAATTATATTAGTATGTTTTGCATGTATTCACGTATGAACTTTCTTACCATGTGCTGTCTTTTGGACCTTCTAGTCTCTTACCTTTCCCTAGACAATGTAGTGGTGACTGGGATAAAGTAACATAGACCTAATAAGGCTTCCGTTTCACAAGGACAATCTTCAGCTTTCATAAATCAAGATCTACAGAATCCTAAAATTGAAAGTGAAACCTCAAAAGCACTGGCCCGAATCCAGACCCAAAAGTGATCTTTAAAGTAGCCACAGTCTTACTTGTCTCTAAATGCACATACAGTACAGTTGATCCTAATAGTGGTATATTTCATCTCACTTTTAAGTAAACTTGACGGGCTTGGGCGGTTGTGACATGATAGTGTATAATATCATATCAGTAAAAATCTGACACCACCCATCCCACGTAATCTCCAATAAATCACCACTGAAACAGTAGAGATAAGTGAATATTGATTCCATCTGCTGTTATGGTCTCTGGCCTGAGAGGCAGCATTTCATTTCTGGTGTCTGACATCAAGGTTCATGGCAGTAGGCCTGATCTTGGCAGCTCTGCCAACACTGAGTCCCAGGATTTCCCCAGCTCACCGGATGTTACTCGGATATCATTGGCCAGGACATTGAGTACTGGGAATAAATGGAATACCACAAAGTTCAGCATCTGGACGGCGCTCTTAAGTCCTTTAAATAGACCAGCTCTGTCTTCCAATTCTGTTTGGCTCCGGTTGGATTCAAGCAGGATTCTTGTATGTTTTTACTCAGCACTCTTTGGCAGTAAGTGGGATGATGTTTGAGAAGCAGGATTATTGAATAACAGCATATCGTTCATGTGAAGCAATACGCACAGTGCACGCCCTCACTTACTCCGCTTCACATCAGTTGTGTGTGAATACATGTGGACCTACACAGTTCAGCACGTGAGAGCTTTTTCCTGCCGGTGGCTGTATTAATGAGTTAGCAGATGTGGGAGGTGATGGAGTCACCACTTAGAGGTAGGTAGTGGTGAGCAGGGTGGCAAACATTCATCCCATCATCCGCTCCATATGACAGCGGTCACCAAGCTTTTGCCTGCTGAAGCATGAGACCATCAGGAATCTGGGTTAAAGGATGACACCAGCAATATAGAGTTTTGTTTTTCTCTCTCTCGCTCCAGTGACTGGTGATTGATGTCGATCCATAGCTGAGAACTCTCTTACCTATTGCCTCAGCAGAAACTCTGACAGGAAAATGACAAATGCACAGCCACTGGAAATCACACTAATTTTGCTCTTTCTACATGTTCAATCTCAGAAATATCATGTGTTGCTTCCTCGCTTGGAAATGAATCATCAAAGTAGGATTCGGTAATTAGCTAAACAAGAGGAATGAGGTTTTTTTTTTATCACATCTCAGTGATGCTGTTCTGTATACAGGACAAATTCAGGATAAATGTGGAAAAAACAATTGATCAATCATTGTACTAATATAATTGATGTGGTGACTATTGCTCACCATGTTTTTCTGAAACTTAAATATACTATACATACGAGACTAGAATAATTTTTTATTTTAATGGACAGATTGATAAGCTTGATTGTATTAACTGAATAGACTAATGATACATAGTGTTTATAGCCTGAAGTAATTTGCAGTGTTCGTCCTTAGATAGGCTATATAAAAAATACATTTGATACAGTGGCCTCCATGTTGAACCATGTTTCTACAGTAGCCCAGAACAGACAAACACAACACTGGCTCTACATAGCGTAATAAGTTTTGCGACTGCTGTAGCTTCCCCTTCGCACTAGGAAGGGGAGGGTGAAGCAAGGGAGTTGCAATCTGCAGTTACACTGCTAGATGACACTAAATCCTACACACTAGTCCTTAAAGTACCCAAAAGTACCTAAATATGAAATGCTCTGATGGTTGCGTGGAAATTGAGTATATATTCTTTCTTGCAGATACAATTAAAACGGCATCGTCTGCATACATCTAGAAACCAGTTTATGACTCGGTGAAATCTGGTTGTTGTTCACTGGTTGTTGTCTATTGTTTGTTGTCTGGTGATGTTGAATATGTATATACTGCTGGCTGTACAAGAATTGCCCTTCATGGATAATAAATATACCCTTGATACAGTATTTCTTGCATTTGTGTGAAATAATAACTGCCGTTATCCCCGTATTCAAACAGTACTTCTCCATGAGACCTGGCTTTTCTCTCCACCTTCAAGCACAGAGCTTCAGAACAACTAACAGATTTATTTATAGTCTAACAAAGTAGTTCTAATTGAGCTCTTACGTGTAGCAAGGACATAATATTAGAATGGAAATATGTAGAGTGAATAGATCAATACAAACAAAGTCCACATTGGTTATCCCAGGTGGACTAAAATGATAAACAGCAGCTTCAAGGGAATTTGGATTATGCTGAGCTTAGGCAAAAACCTTTAACACTGCTGGTATGTTTCTCTACTAGTGACTCCGTGGTTCAGGCAAAATGCCTTTTTCTACTTTCCTGCTCCAATCTTCCCACACAGATGTCCTGTCCGATAGGAAGTCGTTAAGAAATCAATGACGAAATACTGGACTTTGTGCCACTAAAGCACTAAGTAGAAACACTGTGAGATGTACAACGTTAATGTGTTATCTGTTTTGATTAGGCTTCATTTCATAAACTGTGCTGTCCTCGCAGATTATGGTCAGTTGCATCATGACCTTCCCCCTTGTTAAACATTCAACACAAACTTTCTGCAAGAGGAGATGTGTTTATGCCCGGAAATCTAATTTATCAGTCATTATACGTAACATGGTCTTAGTCAATACTTGGAGAACGCTTTGTTTCTGGATTTCATCACCTCAGCCAAATTGTTGGTTTGAATTGAGCTTCTCATCTCCCTATCCCGACATACCTTATTAAACCCATTAGAATAAAGACATGATGTAATATGCTCTCCATGCATTGTCCACTAGCAGCTTCAAGTACAGGGCGTGTACATCTATCTTATTATGAAGCTCAGATATCTCTTGCCTCATATCAATGGTACTCATGATTATTTCTCCACATCGCTTTTATTATTTGGAAAGGTTACCTTATGTCAAACCTCTCTCTCTCTCTCTTTAGAGGCTATTACGTAATTTGTCTATTAGCACAGGAAGGGGGGCACTGTGAAGTACTGACCTCCAACACAAGTGCACTGTAATTAATTTTCTTCTCCGATTCTCTGCTGTTCTCATCACCCTAATCAGCATTTCATTCAGTGATCCCAACACAACACAGGCCTTCGGAAACTTCCAAACTGCCTCAAAAGTCAGCATTTGCAGCTTGTGCTTTTGACACATAAGATACAGTTATTAATGCACGTCCATCTGGCACTGCTATTGACAGGCATACTCCCTGGCTGACCAGATGCATGTCCAGGTGGCCTGATAAACAAAGCATATCAGAGACGCTAACAGCACAGTGTTTGGTTAGTTGTGGGATGAGAGGAGAGCGCAGAGATGACTGGCTCTCTCCAGCCAAAAGTTAGCCAATGATGGAGCTGCCTTGCCCTCACGCTGTTGGAAAAGGTTGGACCCCCCGATGGTGCCCCAGAATCCTTGTACAGTATTGCGTGTGGCTGTGATACTTCATTGTGTAAGCTTTTCCTCCCAGCAGAAACATGTTTGCTTTTGCTGGTATGAACACTTTGTACAGTCCCAGAGCCACACACAGCACGTTCAGTGATTTCCGAATTGTTTCACTAATGACCAGATTTGTCCTGTGTTGTTATTGGATTTTAGTCACCCATGAAAAATATTTTACGCACAAGCTGTAAATGCTGACTTTTGAGGCAGTTTGGAAGTTTTGGAAGGTCTGTGAAATTCTGATTAGGGTGATTTTCCCTATTAACATAATATATTTTACAAAGCAGTGCATCACAAAAGGGTTTTTGATGAAGATTTATTGGAACCTACTGGTAGTCAGAGATGTGTGTTTACTTACCATGATAATTCGTGTATATTTCAAACTGAAGAACATTTAGATGCCTTTTTTGCCAAACTTTTTAAAAATCACCAGGTTTGCCACAGCACACAACCAAATCAGACAGACAGACCTATTCACACTAGCAGAATAGAGAACAAGAACATGTAACAAATTCACCATGACTAATGCCTCTGAGTAATCCAACATGCTGTCAATCATTACTCACACAGAGAGCACTGTCTTCGTTCCCATTGGATCGAATGTGGTTGTGCTGTGCGCTTCTTCAAAGCACAGTCCCGTGACTCCCATCCTGAGGCGAAAGAACAGGGCCGAGCTGTGTGTGCGCGTGTGTGTGTGCGCGGGAGAGGAAGAAAGGCAGCAATTATATGGACAGGGGTTGTTCTTGTCGCCGGGGTCACGGCCACCTACCCTGTCGCCCCACTTTCATGTGTCCCCGCTCAGGGACAGTAAACAAACACGCATATGAGCACAAGCTATAGCTGCATTACACACGGCTGTGTTTTGACGCCAGAGTGCCTGGAAGGTGACGCAATAGTGGGAGGCTGTGGTCCAGTTAAAGGTGGCAACATCCGCTTTGGTTCTGTACTGCATCACTGTGGTGTTAGTTTAAAGTTGAGCATGCGTATCTCATCCTCACATCAATTACACTACTTTTGTATATTTATGGTAAACAGATGAGATCAATGATTTGTATGTAGCCTCTGTCTCACAGACTCTGTTATTTCTAGCTTGAAGCTTCAACCGCCTGAAGGCAAACTGAGCACCCTAGAACAAGAAGCATTTACACACCAAATAATGGCATTTCTGAGCAGCCTAGACTGTATAAGTATAACAATATGTGGTATTTCTGATTTATGTAGGGACTGTACCATAACTGGTAGCTAACTACCAACAAAAGCTATTATTAACAGAGTTTTACCTTCAGTATTTGCAGATATTTCACCAAATCTGCCCTGTTGGCATACGGAGTATCTCAGTTTTGGTGATTTTTTTTTTTGTTAGCTTAAATTATTCTAAAGAGGCATTCATTTATTTATTCTGTAATGAGTTATTGGGGTAATTCTGAGCCTTTAATTACGTTTGTAAATAAGTTTGTGGTTCGGATATCTATACACATGAGGTTTTCCAATGGGAAAATCAACTTGAGAACTAGAGTATTGCTTCATTATTTCGTCTTTTAGAGAAAGAACGTGAGGAAAGCGTGTTTGTATGTGCATGGTGGCAGGAGTGGGGGTGGTTGCACAGAAACAGCACTAGAGGCCTGAGAGGGGAAGGAGAGAGCCCCAGTTACTGAGTAACCCAGAGCAGCAGTCCCATACTCACCTTTCCCCTAATAGCCCTTCACCTTCCGAACCACGTGAAGTGGGCCTGTATGCTGACTCCCCATAGTGTGCACTCAAACACACACACACCCACACCAAGAAAGCTTAGCAAGTGACAGAGACACACACACAAGCATTAAGTAGATGTTTTCCTTGACAGCAGAGCAAGCAAAATAGCAGCAGCTTAAATGTGGAATATGTGTCATTTTAAATGTGGAATATGTGTCATTTTCACTGTCCCATAACGCAAAATGAGCAGGGCATAATGTGTCTGTCAGGATTTGACTTGGTTGCTCGTCAGTACGTATGACTCAAAACTTACCTCACTGTGCTGAGATTTCTGGGTTTTAAAACAAACTCTCACACCCTTCAGGGCCCTGGCACACCAAACCGTTGGGCGCCGTCGGGCCATGTGTGGTCAACTGAAGCGTTTGCAGTGTGATCGGTGCGGTTGTCTTCAGTCGGTCCTCATCAGGCCGTTCAACAGATTGAGCACTGTGAATTGACGTTGGAGGCAGCTGGCATTGGCATTAGTTTCTCCATGTTACGCCTTCACCTCGACTTTTTCCACGAGCAAAATACCGTGGGTTGACAAACAGTGCTGCAAAGAAAAACTTAGTTGCCAGATGCATCAAAATTTTAACAGATGGATTCGCAATTTGTATTCTTAGCACATGACGAGACTTGCTTGATCAAATTTATTGTGGTGTAACTGTGGCTTCCCAGTTTGTTTTGTTCATCTCTCTGCACACATACGCACTAGTTAATTCCTCTCATGCGGGCACAGAGCGTACATGCATGCCGGCAGCCAACAGGCCAGCGGCTGTGGCGTTCGCTGTGTTCACGTGCAACTTTTAACAGAAGGCATGATGCATCGGCCTTCGTCAGTGCTACGTCTTTCAAGTTGTCCACCTCCTTTGTTTTAAAAAAAAACAAAGCCCAACCTTCCATCTCCAGCTGCTCCCATTGTCAGCTTTCAACTGACAGATTGCCATGAGAGACTAAAATCACAAAACATCACAGTTATGAATGTTATTAAACCTGAAAAAAACAGGATTATCATTCCAGCGACATCTTCATCTCTTTTCTAATTAGCAGGCTATCCTTCATTCTGAACCGGTTACTCTATTCATTTTCAGGTAAAGGCTAATGCTGCTTTTAAGTAGGCCTCGACTGACCTTTGTGGAGCATAAACTACAGTTGAATATTGCTGTATAGAGAAGTGTGTGGGAATGTGTGTAGTGTACAACTGTGGCAGCAGAAAGCCACTCCTTCCCATTGTAGCAGCTGAATGAGTAAGATTTCAATGGAAAGTATGAGTCACTAGACCTACAACTCACAACAATAATATTTAGCATGAGTAGGGAACGCTGAGCAGTCTGCTGAAGGTAGATTGGTGATTAGTGGCTTTATACGCAGACTGGGAGTGGCTATGACAAAACTGCTGGCCTGACATCATTAATCCGTCCCAGCCCACACACTCTCCATGCCAGACTGGTAAGGGAGGTACCGGCTGAAAGATGGGCTGCTAATTCAGTCCAGGGTGAGGAGCAGAACCAGAGCGATCCAGATCAGCCACACTGAAACCTTCACCCGTTCCTTCATCACATGGGTGTGACTGGGAGCTTTTCTGGTAATGCCCTGTCTTAGACAAAAAAAAAGGAGTGTGCTTTCTCACACTACAGAGCACATTCTTCCAAGTCATTATGTACATTCTTTGTAAATATTGAATAAGTAATGAGTGATAAAAAGTGTTATGTCAAGAGTTCAGTAGAGATATGTAAAATAGCTCCAGTAAAAGTATATTTTTAAAAGAACTTTGTTTTTGCCAAAGTACCCATCACTGTTAATCAAGTCCTGTTCTATTTTCATGGTAATTTGGATAAACTAGCCATGTTGTTTTGCAGTGTGACAGGAATTTATGTGGATGAGGAACGTCATAGGTCTAAAACGTGTTATGTGTATTTTAACAATAGTCCATGAATCAGTGAACCCCCTTTTGGTTTGGAAAGGAAAAGCTAGAGCATACAGGGAGCATAATCACATTTCTGTCAAAAAACCTTTCTGTAGCATTCACATACTATGTAATTTAAATCCCTTTAAATTGCAAGAAGCACAAAATAGATAAAATTACTTGTGATGTGAGGCAAATAAATAAGTGAAATGGGATTTTTTTGGCGCAACCTCCTCATCCAAAAAAAAAAAAAGAAGCAGAAAATAACAAGCAGGAAACTAGATAGCGGCTCATATTATTACACTCTGTACAAAATTCTTTTTCATTTTGTGTTGTGACATTCTCTTACTTCCCAAAGTCATAAAGAAGTCCTTCAGTGCAAAAACGTCACAGCAGCAGCTTTGTTTCCGTGTGATATGTCAGCAGTAATGACACAAATTGGCAGTTTTTAGGTAACAGAACTCACATGCGTGACCGTCAGCTGGAGCACTGATAATTATCCACCAAACACTGTAGAAAATTCCTTATTATCTCAAAATAATTTATAAAACTCAAATCTCATGACAACAAACAAGAAGAAAAAGATGCCTTGTGGAGCTGTTGTAAAAGAAAATGAGAGAAAGCTTGGTTTTTTGTTTGTCGTAGCTGGAAAAATATGGAAATAAAAACCACTGCCTCTATATGAGATACACGCTAAGCATTTATGTTGTGCACATCGAATTGAGTAATCATTCAGATTTACAAATCTGTCCGTGAATCAGGACTGCATTGAGGTTGAAGCTCAAATCCGTGGTGTTGACTCAGAAAATGAATCATGGAACCTGCGGAGAGCCCAGATCATCTGAGCAGCTGTCCCAACAAGCCGGGGGCCGGGGCCGGGGCCAGATCAGGCCCTGTTTTCACTGAGGAGGGGGGGAGAGGAGAGGAGAGAGAGAGAGAGAGAGAGAGAGAGAGAGAGAGAGAGAGAGAGAGAGAGAGAGAGATCTGAAAACTTTCCACAGAATGCTTTTTAAACGGTCAGTTTCAAATCATGGAAGCAAATCAAATCCTTGCAGAGAAAACAAGCTTTTGTATTTGACACCGAAGCAAAGAGGGGCTGTTATTATTGAATGACTGGCATGGTTGGTAAACTCTCCAGCTATTTCCTCCCATTCATACGCCGAAAGGTCCTGACTTTCTCTTAAGTGATATCTTGGCTCCGGCATATGAAATGCTCGAGATTCATCAAGAAGTAGGAAGCTGTGTCTGACCTTAAATAGGAAATCACCTTAGGAAGTTAGATAAAATTCAAGAATGGAGGATCGGGCTTTCGCCAAACACTTTTCCACTTGTCTTGCAATGTGATTTATGTGTTGTGTGCTGTTTTGCAATTGCTTTTGTCACACAACCCTTATTTTCTTAGTTTAGTTTACCTGTTATGCAAAGTCTATTCCTCCCCGAGAAAGGAACATGGTCTGTGTGTTATACTTATTTTGTTCAAACTTTGCAAAAATGCAGTATTTATGACATTGTGCGTCCAGAAGCTAGTTTCTAATTACATTTTTGTGTGAGATGAAAGAAAAAGTTGTTTTGAAGGTATAAATTATGGTTGTCGTGGAAACAGTGTGTGATTTTAGCTTGGCGCTCTCATACGTGGGTGGCCCAAACATGTGAGTCAGCGAAACAGACCACTCGGATTGCATCTGCTGTCACGATATGAGAGAGATCGTGAACTCTATCTATTTTCTATTCCCTGAAGAGCGGCCATATGGTCAAGCCTCCTTTCTGCCGGTGCGATCCTCAAACTGGGTTGTCTGGTTCAGTTTTCTCCAGATTACAGCTCAAAGATGAAGAAACACTGAGTCAAATGAATCAGAGGCAGGAATATGCTGCATTATGCAATAAGAAACAATTCACCAAAAGCCTTTGCATTTGCTGCATCAGTGGAAGCAGGTGGATCCCAGTTAAGGCTTCTTATTTAACCACGTAGAGGGGCAACTGTGGCTCAGGAGGTAGAGTGGGTAGTCCACTAATCAGGTGGTTGTTGGTTCCCCTTTGCATGTTGAAGTGGGGTGGGCAAAGTGAAAAGCACCGCTTGCCCCTCCCTCATCACCACCGCTGAGGTGCCCTTGACCAAGCCCCTTAACCCCAGCCGCTCCAGTGGTTGTACTGCACAACATCCAGGTGTGAATGTGATCAGGGCATTGCACTCAGTGAAACTCTCCTGAATAAATAAAAGTTTAAAAAAAGAAGCATCCTTGTGCAAGAAAGGAATAATTCCAAATTGCACCCGATGGCTGTGTGAATGTGTGTAAATGGGATTAGTTAGTTTCTGATGAGCAGTGGGCATCAGACTCTGCCATCAGTATACAAATGTGTGTCAATGGGTTAATGTGAGTGTGTAGTATAAGCGGCGTTGAGTGGTCGGAAGAGTAGAAAAAGACGCTATGTCAGTGCATTTACCATTTAAAGCCACTTCAGTAATGACAGAGGGGAGTTGAGTGTGTGGACAATTTCCTCTTGACTGTGAGACTGGACTCAGAACAGCAGGGTGCCAATCAACAGCAGCACGTATTTTTCATACAGTAAAACAGTATTTTTCACAGTATCATATTTTCATTTGAAGTCAGTTTGTGAGAAATATGTGAGAAAAGTTGACTTAATGTGGCATATTTCATTGATTGATTGATTCATTCATTTAACCTCTAGCTATAAAGACTGGTCCAATGTTGCTCACTCTCTTTTCATGAAAGTAAAAGCAGATATTACAAGTTGCAATCTTAAAGGATAATTCACCATTTTGGAGATATACACCTTTGCTTTCTTGCTGAGAGTTATCAGAATCAGAAATACATCCCTATCTAGGCTCATCTAGGCTCGGGCAAAAACTAGATTGCTATCAATCTTCTCATCTAACGCTGGACAAGAAAGAGTATTTCACAAAATGTCTGACTATTTCTCGAAGTATAAAAAAAATAAAATAAAAACACATAAAGCTGCAATTGAATAAAAGGGGAAACGCATATGAGGGTAAACACAGACATCAAACAGCAATCAGTGATCATATTCAAGAGTATGAGTTAAAAGCCTAGAAAGTATCTACAGTTGCAGGTACAGCTATAGTCAACAGTAGATGTGATTAATAAGGTAAAATATCTGTTGCTAAGGTGATTGATTTTCACTTAGAGTTAACTCTGTTTGAGTGTACATTTAATGGCTCTTTTTTTTTTTGCCAAGCCCTGATTTGAAATTGGGAACCTTCAGAACAACAACGTTTTCAAAATGGGTTTAAAGGTGGCCATTATTACTAGACAATCTTCACTTTCCTCTGCCAGACATACTACATTCAATTTAGCGTCAAATCTCCATCAAAGAAATCCCTTATTTGAAAGAATGTGAAAGTAAATGAGAACCTGTCGGAAGGCCTTGCTTACGGAGGCAAGTCAACCTTTCCTCTTTCCTCTAGACAGTGAAAAGGCTGGGCCACTGATGAGCTCAGGGAGTCAAACAGGCAGCTGTAGCCTTCCACCTGCTCCCTGGCTCAGGCACCCATGGGAGCAGGTCTGGATCACACCTTGCATGCAGCGTTCTGGCCCCAGGAGATGCCAGGCTACAGAAAGCCTTGTCCTGACTTGCCAGCTTACAGTCAAACTGCCTCCCACCGTACAGGTCAGGCCTGTTTTCGTCTGTCTAGCCTGGAGCCGTGTATGGGATAATTAGCAAACTTTCAAACATTACATTAACTGTAACACCTGAGCCACCACCATACTGTGTGTGATCTTGTGTGAAATGTTGGTTATGTGTGAAACTTGCCTGACATCCGTTTCCAGAGCCACATTGTACTACTTTTAAGTTTCCTTTTGTTTGATATTTGTCGTACAAATACTGGAAATATTTATTTTACAATTTGTGTAACTGGATAAGGGAGTTACAACAGATGTAAAGTTTAGATAATGTGGTTTTTGAAAATCCCCCAAAATGTTTTGATGCTTAGACTGCCTCCATGTGGTTTAAAACATACTGGTGTTCTGGGTGAAAGTCTCATAAATGTCCAAAATATAACATTTTAATAAGCCATCAATTTATGAGGGATTTATAACTTGTCACACATGGCTTTGTTAATGAATATGAAGTCATTTGTAAAGGCTCTATATATCCACAGTAAGACACAAATAAGGATATGTCCTTTGATGAATGACTCTCTAACATTTATAATTACTGACTTGATGGGCTGAATAAAAGAAAAAACGGGTCATGAGTTTCTCACTTTTCGATAATCCATCAAGTCCGCAGTTGTAAATGTTATTAAGTTGATGATAAATGGATTTTGGTCTGCGTGCTGTGGAGCTCATTTTTAAACGGTGAGAGGTCAAACTGCCCATTGGAATTAAAGCACCAGCTAAAAACATAAAGCAAGAAATGTCAGCATTCACATCAGCCAAAGGGGTTATTCAAAACCTGCCAGTACAAAAAGTTATCCTTTTTAATTGTTAATTATGGACATATATTAACATATCTTAAGCATTTATAAACAGTAATACAACCATTAGTAACAACTTATAAAAGAGCTTTTTTTAGGACATTTAGGAGTTGGCGTAGGATAAAGGGATGTATGACACCACATCCGCCTATGAAGTGTTTATGGAATCACCACTCACGACCAACAGTCCATGAAACAGCCCCCACATACTGGATCCAGTCTGGTAGAGTGCACAGTGTAAGTCTTCCCAGTGTTTCAAAATCCACTTGATGCTGCATTACTGTGTTCTCACTGGGACGCTCAGGCCTTTAGGGACTAATAATGTCTGTCATGCATACTGTAGCAGACCCACAAATCCAAAGGTGAGAAACATTAGCAAACAGCCCTGACAGATCTACACACAGCTCGTGCAAGAGTGTGGCTGCGTTACACCAGGCCTGTGGGCATCAGCTGGGAAAACAAGCTGAGACTGATAACAGATCAGGCCCACATTCCATCCTGGGCTGTGCTGAGGGACAAAGCAGACCACCAATTCTCACACACGGTGATAGCGGTTAGCGTGAGAGTTAGGGTGAGGCCTACAGAGGCGCACGGTTGGCGGCGTTTCACAGAACTCCTCTGCTTTGATATGTATCTCGTGTCACGGCCAGGTTGCGCGCGGCCGTGTGAATGCCTCTGTGAGAGAAGAAAACAAAAACATACATCTCACTGGCTTTATTCAGTGTCAGTTTTAGGCTAGTCTGTTTTTAATAATGTGAGGAATGGTTTGGCACTGTAAGGCCCAGGTGCTGACAGACCTCCCGACACGCTGAGCGGTTCTCTCTGGGTCCATGCTGCGCAGGCCTGGCTGGGCCCGGCTGGACGGCTGAGTGCAGGTTGCCCAGCAGGCTGTGTTGTCTCAGCCTTCAGCCATGGATGATAGATGGAGCTGGAAATGCTCCCAGAGAGGGGGTGAGCACATGTGTGGCAAGACGTGGCAGGTGGTGAGCGCTGACTTGACAGCAATTAAATGTACAAATCTTTGATTAAGCTCATGGGAAGGCAGTCATTAGCAACACTGAATCGGCTCTCCCCCAACACTCGCTCACACACTCTCTTTCTCTCACGAACATACATAAATACACACACAGGCACGCATTTTTCACCCTGAGTTACACTAACACTACTGTATGAGTGGGTTTCATAATGACTAATACAGTGTATACTTTTTAAAGAGGCAGTTTTTGTTCGGTTCATATACGGTTCGGTTCAATGTGTTTCTATGTCGGCCTTTGACCAAGGCACTCATGTTGTATTAAACTGACATTAAGAGATCAACTTCAGGTCTTTTGAACAGTTTATTTAAATGCTGGAGACAAACAATCTTTTAAAAGGCTTTTCTCTCCAGTATGCACAACATGATAATAGCTTTCTTGTGTCTGTTGTTCCTTCCTGCTGTGCGTT